GGCTCTCCCCGGGCGCGGGCGGCAGCGGCGGCTCCCGGCGCAGGCGGCAGCTCCCGGCGGCGCTGCTACCGCCTCGCCCCGCGCTCCCGAGTCCTGACCGCCGGCCCCGCGCCGCCGCGTGACATAGCGCGGCACTGCGGGGAGGGGCCGGCGCCGCTCGGCCCGGCACAGACCGGCACAGACCGGCACAGACCGGCACCGGCCGCCAGGCGGCGCCGCAGCGCCCCACGCCGCCCGCCCCGAGGGCTGCGGGAGCGCGGAGGGGGCGGGTCGCCGCCGCTCGGCCACGCCTCTCATTGGCCCACTCACCTCGCCGCGCGGCGCGATTGGCTGGTTTGGCGGCGGGGGCGGGGCAGCACCGCCCCGTCGGGGCCTGCGCGCACCCCTGCCCGGCGGCGCGGCCGTAAGGGGCCGGTCTGGCCGCGCCGCTGTGGGGCACCCTCGGACTTGGCAGGGCTTCACCACGGGACAGGGGCTTCGCCGGCGGCCCCGGTGGCTCCCCAGCGCAGGTTTGGGCCCCAAGTGCCTGCGCCCTTCTCACGGAGGGGCCGAGCGGATCGCACTTAGCAGGGCAGGAGAGCCGTCAAGTTGCGGTGGCGTGCTCTCGGTGTGTTTGCTCAGTGAGCTCCCACCGGCAGCCTTGGGGAAGGATAAACTGGGCCATGTGCCGTGGGAAAGGGGGCACTTCATTTTTAGCACCGTTGAAATAAGTTGGCCATGGAAGGTTTTGCAGCTGAACGCTGGAAATGAAAGGCTGGTGAATGGCTTGCCTCTGCCCTAAATTGGGAACGTTATTAACACATTTCTTCTGGAGACCTTAGCAGCACTGTACAAACATGAACCGTGACACCTGGAGTATCTGGGATACCTCACTTGGCAGGCATCGAGTGCAGGTATCTGAGACAACTTACCCAAATTAGTGCTGATAAGTCTGTGGCAGAGTCGGGATTTCAGTTTACCATTTTCAGCATCTGAGTTCCCAGTGCGCCCTACTATTTCCCTCACTGAAACGGAAACCCATGTGAGGCAGGTGGTTTAGTATTGCAGCACATGCTACATCTGCCCATCATGCCCCATCTGTCTGTCTCAGGGTAACTGGAGGAGTTGGAAGTGTCAGGCCTGTGGGATGTCATCTGAAGTAAAACCTGAAGCTCTGTGTGGTCAGACCACTGAAGGCCCTGCAAAGGCTCATGCCTCATGCAAATAATCACTCTGTACAGCTGATCTTGTTTTCTTAAGTGCCCTGGCTTCTTCCAGGGGAAGTGTCACTGTGGCTCTCCATGGGGTTGTGGCACTTGTGCTCTTAGGCATTTTGGGCATTCCAAAGCAGGGCCAGACCCAAGGTCCTCCGTGGCTGAAGGCAGCTGGGAAGACCCCAGGTTGGATGCTCTATGCATGCAGTTGAAGGTGTGGGGAAGGAGCATCGCCCTGCAGCCCCGCACCAGGGTGGCAGCACCCACTTCCTGCAAGGAGCACAGTGAGTCAAGGATGGAGCAGCCAGCAGAGCATAGGGGCTCAGTGTGACCCTCATGCTCAAGACCCATAGGGACCATTGACCCTCTCATGGGACACCGCAGTCCTGCAGAATTATGTCCCCCTAAATTAACAAAGATAGTGCTACCACATACGACATTAGCCCCAGAGAGTCATCACAGGGCACCCAGCTACAACCAAGAAGCGTTTCCCCATTGGGTGCTTTCATACTTTTCTCCCTCTGTGATGAAGCCTGTGAGGAGATCACCCAGGCAGCTGAGCTCTGCCAGGAGTGACAGGTAGAAGGATTGGAGTGGGAGCCTGCCTGTGCTCAGGCACGTACTAAAATGACAGAAATGGCTTAATTTGTACCTTTGGTTATTTTGGTGCAAGTCCTCGTGGGGATGCTGAGGTTAGAACAAAAGCATTCTATTTTAATTTAGTGTAATTATAGCTTGTCTACTTAGAAAAGCTGAATTGCTTTAACAATACTATTGCAGCTAACTCCCCAGAGTATGGATGCAGTTGTGCCAGGATAATGCTAATATGGCTTACTCTTGTTGGAAAAGGGAAAAACATTATGTGTGCAGATGCAGGTTCACTTTGCAAACAGCTGCAGCTGTTTGAAAGGTTACCACCAGGGCAGCCTATTACCAGGCTTGTTCTTGGGGCTCCTCCCTCCATAGCAGAGCCTTAAAGGCAAGTGTGCTCCACAGCCACCTGGCTGCAAAATTACAGTGTTTAATTCAGTATTGGGCACCTTCAGCCCAGCAGGTGTTCCACTCAGAGGCATGAGAAGACTCTGCGTGGCTGCTCTGCTGAAATGGTGAGGGAGCTCAGAGCTACCTGTAGTGTGGTAACAGCTTGAGCAGCGATGCTGTTTCAGCAGTGAACCGCAGAGCTTAGTATAGGAGTGGTACAGGTGACAGTCACATTCCTGACTAAAATCAGGTAGCAGTCCCTGTATCATAAATTGTTACAGGTCCTTCTTTTCCTTCAATGGAGGCAAAAAGAAAATGGATAAATTGCACAGGCTTGTATCCCTTCTTCTGAATTGAAAACAAATCACTTTTCAGTGAAACTCCAAAGGTGGCGAGGATCTGCACAAGACAAGGAACAGTATCTTCAGTCATTTCTGGGGAACTGCATCGAGCATGGAGGCTGGATGCTGTTACTTCTGGTGCATTTCCTCCCTACTGCTCTGTGCAGACGGCAGAACCACATTTGCAGCCCAGTATCTCATTTTTATTCTGCATTGTTCTAAGTGTATATATAGGTCCGTCTCTATACAAGAGAAGGCAATAATAACGAAAGACACGTACAATGGGAAGAGGTACAGCTTTTAAGGCTGTAGTTTCCCCTGAGGAGTACCCAAGAAAGTTGTCTCCTGCACACATGAGCTTTGATAGAAAGACCTGTTGTGCCTGAGGAGCAGAGCTGTCAAAAGGGGTCTCCATCTCTGTGCCAAAATGCTTGTTACCCTTCTCCTGTCAGAGCCCAGCAGTTGGTAGTTTTCCATCTCTAGAAATCCAGGGGAACTTTCCACCTCAGGGAACAAGAAACTGGAGAAAAGTCAATAGACCAGACGAGATTCATACCACATTTATTCAAGGAAAGAAATAAAAGGAGTACCATAATTACATTTTAACTACATTTTGCTCTCAGCAGCATCCCATAAATCATGTACCTTGTTAGTATTGTGGAATAGCATATGATGCTGGAAGTCAGCACACAGTAAATATGTTGACAGTAAGTACAGTAAATACTGTTCACTAGTTGGCTTTGGCCATCTTGGGCAGTGTGTCTTGCTGAAGTCATGGCAGCTGATGGATTTTTGCCCCCTTGGTCTGTTTTGTCTATTTTTGCTGAAGAGAAGGAGAGCAGGCATTCTGCAATCTCTGACACCAGGCTGGAATATGGCACAACTGAGGGCACAAGGATGTACGAGCAATGTCACCTCTTATCTGCAGTGGCAAATGGCAAATTTGTGTCCTGTATGAGACAATGAGGACTCCTTAAGAGAAAAGTTGCAAACCACAAGGAAAAATCCTGTAGGTGGGAGATGAGAGGGCGGGCGATATGCACTGGGTGGCAATCCATTTGAACAGCATCGAAAGATGATGTGAGAAAGCCCTTCATGCAATGCTGCAAGCAAAAAATGCCACATGTACATTTTTAAACACCTTCAGCAGACAAATACAGCCAATGCATTGAGCTAAGTAGGCTCCAGCAAGTGAGCCATAACAGTCTGCATTGTTTCTGTGCTTGGGGAGGGGGGGATGTGAGTGGATTCAGAGCTGCATGGTTGCCCTATACTGTAATGTACCCTACCCAGTACTGTAGCCTTTTGTGTAAAAGGATGAGCTAAACAGTTGTTTTGCAAAGGGGGGGCCCGTTTGCACCACAGCAGCAAGTCAGAGCAGCTCCCAGGCAGCCGTGGTGGCGGTGGGCTGAGGGTGCATTGATGGAGGGATGCTGTAACAGATAGCCTCTGCTTCTGAGCTTTCAGCCTCAACCCTATCACATGCACACATCTTACAGGTTTGAACCCAATTGTTTTCAGAGCTCTAATCTGGGGGATAAACAGGCTTAACTCCGCGTAGGTCAACAGGGTGGCAGTTGTCTGTCTCAGGGCTGAATTTGACACATTATCAGCCAGTTCCCAGAAACGCTCTTCCTCTATCCTGCGTGCTCGTGTTAGTCAAATATTATTCTTCAAGAAAAATTACAGAGAGAGGAAATTATTTTATCAGGATGTGAAGTAGGTCATTGTTATACCCTGGCTTATCTTTTTCCCTGTGATATAAAAAGTATGAACTAGATACTGGCCTTGTAGAATGAAAGCTTTCTTTTTTTCTTTTCTTGCAGAAACTTGAAAAGCTTGACACAGAGAGAGGCGAGGGAGTGAGGCAGCACTGTCTGAGCATAGCATGATGCACTGCTGCTTGTTCCAGGGAAGGGTGTGGCTGCTCTGTACAGCTGTCACCAAGATCCTGTTCTTTACTGAAAAGAGCAACCCTGAGGTCTGGAAAAAAACCCATCTCTAATGCACCCCTTCATTTTCCAAAAAGCAGGATCCTGGTGACTTGGCGGAGTGGGTCAGTGGCATGCAAGGTGGAGAGAAAAGAAAGGGGAAGAAAAGGGAAGGAGAGAGGAAGGGAGGGAGGGAGGGAGAAAGAGAGCAAAGAAAGGACAGCAACCTGAGAAAGAAAGGGCAATTTATATAAAGGAGTGCTCTGTCTCTAGAGAAGTGCCTTTGAGGCTGTTCTTTGAGAAATATGAGGGAAAGCAGCTAGAGAACTACAAGATACTGCTACTTTTATTATATATTTGATTTGTAGTCTTAAAAAAATTATATTTTTCCAGGGCTTTTTTTTAATAACATTTTCATGCCCAAAGTATCGATTTCAGGGAGGTTTTCACTACCTGGGGAAAGGGATCAGTAAGTGGCACACATTACTAACACAATAAACTCTCACCACCCTACCAGCTAAATTCTGATTGAGAAGAGGCTACCAAAAACTCACAGGCAAAACCAATTGTTGAGATAAACATGGGGAAAACCCTACAAAACCAAAACAAAGAACAATTGCTTCAAGCCTCCCAAATTTCTATTTAATTCAGAAAACAAATTAACTCTAACCTCCTATCTGCGGTGCCTCTGCAGGGAAACCACAGTGGGAGGTGAGTCCTTTATCTCGCTTTCAAAATCCTTTTTGGCTGATCTGGGGTCAGGTGCTGAAAAGCACTGCATGTCCTGATTTTGTGTGACAGCCACCAATTTGCCAGCTTGTCCTGTAAGCCCCTCACTGCCCTAGGGCTGCCCCACACCCCTCTGAGTGCACCAGAGGTGGGAGCTCTTCGGAGGGCTCTCCCTGCTGGCTCTGTGCAGAGACTAAGCAGTCACCCCAGCAGGTTGCCTGGGCACCGCTGGAGACACACTGAGTAAGATCTAGGTGGTGGCAGATAAATGTCTTGGTAAGAAAAATAACAAAGTTACCAGCTTTGCCAAACACCTGAATGAAGGAACTGCCCCTACCCTGTGGTATATTGCATTTCATTGCTCTTCTTTTCAGTAGGATTTATAACCTGCCATGCTATTTCTGCCACAGGAGTCCCAGTTTACACACAATCTGGAGAGAGGGAGGAAATCCAACAAGTAAACGGGAGGAGAAGAAAACATGCTTGAACAATGTGCTGCACACTGGTGGGACTGGTGAGTGACAGAGGAGAGAGCTGAGAAGAGAAACAACAGCTCAGTTTGGACACACATCACTGAGGAGCTGGAGCAGAGCAGCTAACGCTCAAAACTGACATGGTTTCTGCAGCACAGGTGCTCTTTAGCAGACCACCTATCAGTCCATGTGTGAATTCCCTCACTAGTTTTCCTAGCTGCCATAACCCTACCAGTTCCTCGGGTGGACTCCCAAAGCAGCTGTCAAAATCCTAGTCTGCCATGCTTCTGTTCTCTAGGGGCTCTTTCCAGCAGCTGGGAAAACCTTTCATTTCTACTATGCATCCCTCTCCCTGTTAAAGCAGACTAGTGAGTAATTTCTCTGCCACAGCCTTCCTGACAGTTGTAGCACTCCTGGGAAGAAACCCTGCCGGCTGCTTCTGCTGATTCCTGCTTCAGCCCTGCTCTTATCCCTGATGTGAACACTCTCTTTACTCCATGCTGGAACTGAGGTGACCTACATTTATGGGCATCTTCATGTGACCCCAGAGGCAGATCTCTATGGCCTCTTATGGCCATCCTTATAAGGATGTATTTAAGAATAAGGTCCCTGTTTGCAAATGAGTTGTGACAGAGGGTAATGTGATCAGACCAGGCTGGAGAACTGGGAAGAGGCTGCTACAACCCAGGCTGATGGGGCACAGAGGGAGACAGTGAGCAGTGAGGTAGGTGGAAGGAGACAGGCTTTGCACGTCTTAAATGCAAATGCAAATATTGCAAGAGAAAAGGGAATGCAAGAGGGCAGACAGTCTGTGTGTCCCCTAAGAACAGAGAACCAGGACACTGAACAGCTTCGTAATGCTGAAGTGATTTCTCAAGGTGCTTGTAAAATATGCCCAGATAAACTATCACTACCCAGGCTGAACAGAATTCAGTACTTCAGTACTCCCTGGAGAAATCTACCATTTCCCCACCACTGGGAGATGTCCCCAGAGGCACTGCAAACTGGGCCATCCACGCCCTTGCATGTTTCGTGAGCCCAGCTTCCTAATGGGAGATTTCACTTTTGTTAACAGTGCTGGGAGGTGAGGTTAGCAGAGAGACCTATCTGCTCTGCCAGCAATGCTCTCATGCTTGCTTCTGCACCTAGCCTCCCCAGTGAAACTTGGCCTAGCCAATAGATCTGTGCTGATCTGCTTTTGTGGACAGTTTGTCCCATGCATTTTTAGCTGGTTACTCTTTAAGTCTGAAAAACAACAATTGGTCCTAGTGTTATCTCTTTTGGAGCCAGCCACTTCCTCTTGGTATCAAACTTGGAAGAATCCCATGGCTGCTGCTGAAAAGCCTTTTCCCCTTCCACATTTAAAGATCTCTTCTGAAAGCAGTTGCTAGGATCTCCTTGGTGGGGATTAAAAGGCTTGGAACAAGCCAGTGCAAGTGTCAGTTTTATTGAAAGTGAACAGTCTGTTCTTCTGTGATAACTGCCCGACTTTGAGGACAGGCATCTCAGGAAAGCATCCACAGCTGGCTCCGGGGCAGCTTAGCAGAGAGGGAAAACCATGGCTTTTTCTGTGCTGCATGGTAACACAAAGGCAGGAAACCAAAGACCATGATTCACTTAGTGCAGAGCAAACACTGCCATCCAAATCAGCACCGTCCTGACTCAGGTGGTTGTACGTGGGGGCTCCCCGTTGCCTCCCTGATCCCCAGCTTAGCTGGGCCAGCTCAGTGCCGAGTCAATCCCACCTCCGTGGTGCCGGCAGCCGCAGCTGGGGAGGAGCAGGCACTTCTCAGCATGCTGTGCTCCACCCCACCAGAAATCTTCTTCGGTAGCGAACTGTGAGCTGGTTTGGGATACTGGAAAGCAGTTACACAGGCATTATGTTTCTCTTTTCAGGGACAGGATGAAAACCTTCGCTTCCCAGGTTTTCAGGACAGCACTTTTCAGCCATAATAGGTATACATAAATCAGAAGCCAGCCACGATATAAGAGATTTTTTCCCTTTCAGGCATCCTGTCTCTACTTGGGAGTCCTTCACTAGCATACAAGGCTAGGCTCAGGAAATTGCCATTCTAGTCCATTTGAGCTGGATTTTGAAAGAAAGAGTTGCCAGAACAGTACCACCAGCATGGCTCTAAAAGGCAATGGTTTACCATCACACAGCAGTGTTTTCACCAGGCTACTTTAAAACAGTTTTCTGAGCAGAATGAGATTCCAAGGGCTGCTTTGCTGGATAACCTTGACAGACTAGTGTCCTCTCTTATCTGGGGAGGGAGCTGACAGAATTCATGTGCCTAAAAAGATAGCTCAACAGGGAAATTTCTACTGAGTGAAAACTGAGCCTCAATTTATCAGTGTTTGAGAAAGTGCTTTGTAGGTGTCTTGAAGTCCTTAGACTAAAGATGTGAATGAGGGTAAAGCATTACTAGTAGATAATGTGATCCTGTCTTTGAACCTGCTTCTCCAGCTGCTTTATGGATCTCTGTATCTTGACAGAGAGTGCTAGAGCAAGAAGGACAAAAATGCTGAACTGCTTCCAGCTCCAGTAGTTCAGGAGAGGGGTTTTTGTGGAGAAGTGTCCTAGAGGCTTTGAGCACCAGCCTCTGTTAGCTGCAAATACAAACCACTAAAAGCACCAGAGCTTTCCCACTGAAGTAAAGGCATCGGGAACAGGAGATTAATAGGTTGCCAGCTGTGTCGGCATGATAAGCCAAGCAAGAACCCAGACGCTTTCAGTTGAATATGGATTGAGACCTCAGCAGGGGCACATGGCAAATCAGCCAGAAGCTACACATGGAAAACTGAGCAAGGCAGTGTGGGCAAACAATTCTTATCTTCACTTTACGTCATTAGAAATGGCATTGTAAAAGAGGCAGCAAAGTATTTGCTGGAAAGAAGGAGGGAAAAGTCCACAAGCTTTCTTGGCTGTACATGTAGATTTTAAAATGCTACTGTTTTCCTCGGAAAGTTGTCATTGAAAACAAACACCTATCAAAAATAACCCAGCAAGTTCTTCCAGAAGGCTAGTCGGTTGCTTGTTTTGGTAGATTTAGCCAAGCTGTGCTGGCAGGAGTCTGCCTGCCACTGCTGTTGTGCTCCAAAGGCAGTCAGGAAAATACAACTTCTTAAACCAGTCTAAAGCACAGCTGTCATAATTACCCCATCTACTCTGATTTGCTGCAAAACAGGACTCATGGGAGAGGCAGACCTCAGAAATGTGGGGTTTCTGCAAGGTGATGCTGTCTGCAGCCATCTCCCTGTTTCCCACAGTTCTTGCTTCTTCAGCAGCCCAGCCCAATTACCTTTTTAGGCTTTTTCTTTCCTTTCTCATTTCATTGTTTTCTTTAAGGCTAATTAACAGAAGAGTGAATGAGGCCCAGGTTTCTTGTGTGGAGTTTTTTTTTCTGGTGGTGGTGGTGCTTTTCATTTTGCTGAGTTTTCCTTTTGCTTTTAAGCAATTATATACAAGAAAAGCACCTTTCCTATCAGAGGCAGTACTGAGTAAAGAGAAGACTCAGCAAGGAGAATAATAATAATTAAGGTAAGGCCATGAGTAGGTTTCGCCTCCGCCTCCTAATTTTGCAGCACCACCCTGAGCAGGTAATGGGCCCTCACTGCACCTCTGCTATCAGCACCCTGGAGCAGGGAAAGGCACAGATATTTCCACCACATAGGAGGTGTGCAGATGTCAGTAAGAGGTGAGCTGAGAAGAAAAGCAGTCTGGGATAAACACAGCTGAAGCTTCACAGCCTGGATCCATATGGCCTCTGGATCCATCCACCCTATGAAGCCTTCAGCTGGCCTCTGGGCAGAGTAAAGCTCTTCACTGGGTTATGGCCAGGGGTGGGCTCACTGCATCTGGGTGTCTTGGGGCAGGGCCACCCATCACGTGCTGGTGGGGAGCTGTGGCTCCCAACACTTCCCTCCTTCTGCCACAAATCCTTGCCCCCTGTGTGCATGGCTCTGCAGGGACTTTAACCTTGTGCCTGGGAGCTAGCCCTGGAAATCTGAGGGCACTCTGTCAAAAGGTGCAGTTGTGACAGTTCAGGTATCAAAATAATGATATTGCTTATAAAAAGAAATCTCAAAATATGACTGTCAATAAAACAGTGCATTTTCATATAATGCCATAATTAATGAACACAGATTCTCTGTATTTGCAGTCCCTGACACCATAGTGATGGACGTGATCTAGTAACAGAGACAGATGACCCAGTGGCTGAATGACTGATCATCTCCATCGGAACACAGGTATGGGGAAAATGAATGGAAAAAACAGAAAATGGAAAATGCATGATGCTGAGCTGCTTTCTGTTTTTCTCAGCAGGGAAACTTCAGGCAATGTGTCTGTAAAGCACCGAGCACCTTCCACTCTTCCCGACCCCGCCAATTTCCTCTGCACAAACCATCCATATGGATTTGACATGTGGCCTCTGAGAGACCCTGCGTTGTACCTCCCAGTAAGTCAAAGCATATGGGGTGGAGGAGCCACGTTCCTACCTAAGCTTCTGCAAGTCCCTAAGGGTCAAGTTAAGTGCAAGCCTGATCCTGTTGTCTGGACCAGGCTTGCCCAGTTCATGCTTTAAGCTGCCCAGCCTCAGCAGGCTGGGTTTCCTCTCAGCTGCAGAGCTCAAAGGAGGTGGCCCCTGTCTCGCTCCATGTGGTCCTGGGCAGCTCAGCATCCTCACCAGATTGGGGGCACATCTTCATGGCTGGCTCATCCTCACCTGCCTGAGGGGCTTCAAGCCTTGGGGCTGGGGAAGGAGGTTGAGAAACAAGAGGGCTGCGGGACTTGAAGACTTCTCTGGAGCCATGTAGCCCTTTCAGCATTTCCATGAGTTTGTTTTTCCTCTCAGACCCAGGGGCTTATCAGCACTTCCCTGCCTCACAGGGATGCTGGGATGAGTAAATCCATTATAAGCTGTGCAGTGCTGAGACACCAAGTCTACAGACACACAAATTAATAAGAGAGGCCAAGGAATGTTTTCCACCCCCAAGACCCATTGGCATGCCCAGCCATCCCCAAAGGGATGTGGTCCTGTCCCCCCAGAGCAGGAGAGCTGTGCCCAAACCACCTGCTGAGAACCAGACTAGCTCCTGAAATATGCCTGGGCATTGGCAGCAAACTCATGCAAGGGCAATGCCAACCATTTAATTGCATGGGCAACTGCCTGGGCCTGTGCCTTGCCTCTACTTTATTAATTTATTAGTACCTTGCTGCTAGCTTACACTCGCACAGACAGAGAGCTTGCCATTAGCAAGGGCAATAAAGTGCCTGTGAGAGAAAAGTCCAAAGTGTTTTACTGCTTTCAAAATAAAAAGGTGCTTTCTCCTCTGGGGTTCCATCTCTTTTGTCCTGGTCACTGTGGAGCTGGGTTTGGTTGATTCAGACAGCGAGATTTTTTTTTGTGCAGTGCCTAGCAGAGGGAGCCTTGGTGGCCGTGTATCACAGCTATCCCAGCAGATGCTGCTGTTGCTGTTATGAACATAATACAGCCAGGTTTAAGACAGGGATGTAATGCTCTGAGTGGCCAGCTTACTGAAGGGAACAAAGAAATGATTATAGGGCCAGGGAAAAAATAAGGGGTAAAAAAACTAAAAGAAAACAAAGAGCCATTGACAAGAGACAAATTAGTTAGGTCTCGAGTGTCCTTCTCCATCTGATAAAACAAAAATGTCCAGAGCAACAATTAACAAAAAAAAATATGAGGGGTAGGATATCTCTGTTTAGCTCCAGGTACTGACTATACACAGGGCTCTTTCTTGTTGTTGTTGTTCTCATGTTTTTTGTTATCTTGAGTCTTGGTTAATGTAGAGCTGGTTGCATATGTGTATGTGTGTGTGTGGTGCAGTGCCCACAGGTTTGAGAGCTGTCTTTTGTGAAGGAAGGGAAGCCCTCCTGAAGGGCAGCAAAGGAGCAAAGCAGGTGCAGAGGATACAGGAATGTGCTTTGGCTGCTCCTAAGGAAACACGGCTAAGGGGTAGGAATCAATGCTGGAAAAGGGCTCAGAACTAGAGGCACATCCAGCAAGTGATTAAGGTTGGGAAGACAGCACTAAATAAAACCAAGGCAACAGAAAAGGAAAGCTGAGGAGAGTGCTGCTCCTGGGCTGCTCTGGGGTACATTGGTCATCTCTGGCTCGCTGGCAGGCAGCAAGGCGGGGGAAGGATAGGCCATCCCCACGAGAGGGCTGTATGAACAACAGGGAGCTGAACGCTGTTTGGTTTTGCTACATCAAAGAGAAAGGGAATAATCTGTTCTCCACAGCATGTAGAGGTAAATAAAGACGTAACGATCTCAAGCTGCAGCACGGGAAGCTCAATACAGATGGCAAGACAAACTTTCTAACGTTGCGGACAATTGCATATTGCAGTTGCCTCCAGGGACTGAAGCATCTCCAGAACGGTTAGACACCCAGGGCTGTCAGGAATCGTTAGGGACAGCTGATTTTTTTTCTAGGCAGCTAGGGGTGCAGTGGTGTTTCCTGACAGTGCTCTTCCAACCATACTTTTGGAAAACAATCCAAACACTGTCAACTGCTATGGCTCCATGGTGATTTTCACTGACAACAGAAAGGAAACTAGACAAAGGCTAGGATACATTTCAATGTTCTTACTCTCTTACTGTAGTATTTGGTTATGTGTGTGGAAGTAGATGCACCTGTTCCATTTACTTTTTCTGCATTCACTTCACCGACCACCTCCTCTTGTCCTATGAATCATTGGTGTGTCCCTGAGGTGCAGCCTGAAAACCATAGGATGGGATAACCTCATGGGAACTGTTTTGGGTCCCTTCTCTGTGTGAGTGTGACCAGCTGCCCAGTGCCAGGCACTGCCCCAAAGGACTGTTCATCTCTGTGGGTGAGGCACAAACGAGTGTTGGGTTCTGAGCAAAGCCCGGCCCATCTCATGCTGCCGGCTGCTGCTCAAAAGCCTGCGAAAAGACATCGTCAAGACCTGTCAGATATACAGCTAGATGCTGTTAAGTGTTGTCTGTTCTGGATAATAGATTGCTTTCTATCAGAGAAAGATCACAGAAACAAGAAATTACTCTTACCTCTTACAGTTTTGTGTTTGGAAGCAGTTGTTCTTAGCTATGTTATATCATTTACCTATATCACACCATCTCTGGTCTCACTGGAAAAGTCTCTGCTTTGTTTGCAGTGATTCCTCTTTCCTTCCCTGCTGGAGTGATGGACTCAGCTGATACCCTCAAAATTGGTCTGAATTCCTTCTACTCTCCACAGCAGCTAGTGGCACCACAGGTTATACAGTCAAAGTTTGCCCAACAATCTTGTTGCTGTAGTACGAAGCAGAAAGGAAAAGCCTTATCTTTACCTTTACCTTCTGTAGTTCAAATAATTAAAATTTCTTTTGTCAGTAAACTGAGGAAACACAAATTGAAGGTGCAGAAATAAAAACATCATTTTTTTTCTGATGCAATGAGAACTAGATTCTGCAAACCCCGATGCAGTTTGCTTCCCTGTTAACCGAAGCGTAAATGTTCTTGCGTTCAAGGCCTCTCTCCCCTGACTTGAGCTCTTCTGCATGGCTTGTCCTTCAAAAGCTGAGTGACAATAATGAATTGTCCTACTTAAACAAGGCACCTATTTCACCTCTTCACTACACTCATAAAAAAATGGCAGTGCTAGATACTCTTAAAGATCAAAGGCCCAATATGCAAAACAGGTCCTGTACAGCAAACTGATGGGCTTCTCAGGGTTTTGTTGCTATGGTGCTATTGCCTTGACAAGTTAAAATATCCCTTGTCAGTCTCCATGGCAGCCTAGAGGGAGAAGTAACCATCAAAAAATAACTGAATATTTTCTTTGATGACAGCCACTGAGTGGTTAATTTTTTTTTAAGCTTTAATAACCCTTGACTTCAAGTTTGGCTATTAACCCACCAACTGATCATTAACTATATGGACTGAATGACTGATTTCCAGAGGATTGGTGCAAAGCAGGATTAGTTTTTAGGGTTTTTTTCTTGAAGGACTCTAATATCTCCCACCAGCAGACAGACAAGCTATTGAATCCCCCATAAGACTCCGGGGCTGAGCAGAGAGGTACTTGCAGGTTATCTGCATAGAAACACACTGCTCAGAGCTGATAAACTCACTGACGCTCTATCCCGCTTTCTAATTTAACTCAAGCCTTGCTGAGCAGCAGGAGTAACCTGACTTAATTGCTGGGGGTCACAGCTTGAGGTCTTTAATCAACATTCCCAGCTTCATCAACAGGATTTTAGCTAGACTGAAACACAAATCTGAATATTTCTGGTATTTACCCTGGTGCTTGTCCTTTTCCTACCAGGACAGCTAGTTATGGATAAATGCAATGTTGCTGCAGAAATGATCAAATGTCGATTGGGCTTCCTTTTTTTTACCCTATTCAGCCTACAGCTGAAACTTTCTAGTGGCAATTTGCTTAGGCCAGTTAGAGAATAATGTGCTAATAAACGAAAGGAGCATTTTTCTTTCATGAATAAGCTATTCTGACTCAGAGTCCATATCCTAAGCCACAAGACCATCCTGCCTTTATGACTTGAGATCCGTAAGACCTAAGAAGCTGACTCTGACTCAGCAGAGGAGGGCTGGGACTGGACTGTGTTTGCTATGTGTATCTTTCTTCCGAACACAACATAGCCACAAATAAGTTAGGAAAAAGCCTCTGGTGCACTGGCCCTGATTTCTCTCTGGGGTTTTGACTGCTCCCTTTGGTATGAGAATGAATTAAGTTCAGATTTATAAATAGCAGTCTAACCACCCTTTGCTGACAGGCACAAATGTCAGGAAATATGTAGTTAGTTCCACCGGCGCGGCATCTTTGAACTTTAATTTTAAGTACCTCTGTCATACCAGGGGAAGTAGAACAACACATCTGGAACTAAAAGGTTCCTGTTAGACTTTTCACACTAACTATTACCAGCTTTTTTCCAGGTAGGAGTTTTCAGCAAAATGTTTTCTAATTCAAAAATACTGATCCCTCAGAGCTATTGTTTTTCTTGTGAGAGTTACAAAAGAAAACATGCCCAGTACATTTCTCAAATAAAAGTAATAAGGAAAAAGTTATGAATGTCAAAGCATCACTTTTTTTCATTATTGACATTTAAAAAATATTTTCTTTATTCAAATGTCTTCAATAATGTAAATAATTTTACTTTTAAGTGTTAATTAAAAAAAATCTTGAAAGCTCTGAAATTAAATATTTCCATTTACTCGAACTGCATTTTTATTGTTTGCCTGCAAATGTTTTCCACGGCTTCATTTTTGATCCCATTGTCTGACTTGAGGGACTTTTTCCATTTCAAGCACCTACTCTCGGCTGAAAATAATAACCAGATATTTTGTGCTTGAATAAAAAATAGGATGAAATTCCAGCTAAGATAGGCTACATGTGCCTTTGGAATATGTTCACAGAGGAGCAGCACACCTGTGCCATGGTTTCAGATATAATAGCAAGGCTCTGCTGTAAGTCAGCCAGGTGAGGGTGCTCCATCAGATTGAACATGCTGCCACCCTCCTGTAAGGAGTTGCTAGCATGAGATTCAGCAGGACAACAAAGTGGAGAGGGATAGACAAAAACTGAGGGACAATAATTTTTCTGCTATGTTTATTGAATTTTCCAGTTGCAGAAATGCAATCCTGTTGATTCACAATTGGCAGGATAAATGTCCCAGTGTAACAAAAGCACCAGGTTCTCCAGCATTCATTTCTAATGCTAAAATCCTGCAGAAAAATCTGTTTCTGTGCATAGGGAGGGACTGTTCCTGATGGAGGCAAAGCTCACAGTGAAGTACCAGCTGTAGCATTGGAGCCAACAAGTTGCAGAGGCAGCTGCTGTTTGCCTTTCCTCATGTAGCATTCCTGCCTCCAGCCCTGCAGAGCAGTGGGATCAGGAGAGCACCAGTGACGCTGGCTGCATCCTGCACACCTGTAAAGCTCCCTCCTCAGGCTGTGGCATGCTAACACTAGAGAGGTTATCCCAGCTCCCAGGAATGAAACATCACCTCTGCCAATACAGTCCGTAGCAGGGCCTCAGGAAAAAAAAAAGCCCCAGTATAACTACAACCACCTCCACAGTCACAGTTGTAATTGCCCCTGAGGGCAGAAAGCACAAAAAAGCCTAGACTCAAAGCAGCAGCACTGTGCCAGCTGCATTTGCTGTGTGCCCTAGGCTGGGTTGCTGAGCTGCTTGGTCTGAGCTGCTGGCTGTGGGGCTACCAGGAAGCTGAGCTGCAGAGCTGTGAAGCTTTGGGGCTGCTGTGCAACTTGGATGTGGCACTGGATGATGGGCTGTGGGGATGGGTGGTAGGGATTGCTGGACTCCCAGGATGTAGGGCTGCACGATGCTGGGATGTGGGGATGCTGAAATGCAGGTATTTGG